CGCCCGCGCGTCGCGGACGGTCGGATCGACCTCCGCGCCGTCGAGGCACGTCAGCGTCGCCTGCGCCCGTGGTTCTCGCGAACATGACCTCCTCGACCCCGACGGGCTCGTCCGCCCTGATCTGGCCGAGCAGCGGCCCCCGTGCATTCCCGGCAGTCGCAGTCGACGATGTCCAGGCCAGCATGGCCTCGAGGGCCCCGATGACAGATTTGTCGCAGACGCCGAGGTCCTCGAAACCTGCCCAGCGGCCGTCGCAGAGGAGGCGCGCGCTGGTCTGCCGCCACTCGATGTGGCCACGACCTGTTAGGCCGATCGCATGGCCAGGGGTCGCGAAGCACACCTGAGCGCGATGACTCTTGCCCGCTCCGATCGGAGGACGGGCCCCCCTGGCATGTCGGCCAACGCCCCCCGAGCCCCTGAATTCACGGCATGCTAAATTCTTTCTTGGGGGCGTAAGCCATGACGGCGGGGCTCGGCTCCAACCTTCAATTGCCAGTCCAGGCCTTCCACGTCTGCGCCAGCTCCGGAGTCCCGCAATGAGTGCGGCACCTCGGCTTCGTTGGACATGATTTGATCGACCTGTTGAGGCCCGATCTCCCCCGCCACGAAAACAGAGTGTTCCTCCAATCGGGGGCTTTGCGACCTTTGATACCCACCACGAACCCAGCGCGTGAACCTGGGAGGGCAAAGCCAACCACCAGTTTGAATTCTGACTGAAGCTCGTCTCTGTCATCGGATTGCGCACGTCCGCGCGGCGTGGAGTGGCCGTGCTCGTGCTGCCTGTCTGCATCCAGCCGCTGGCTCCAGCGGCCTACGCATGTCACGCGATTCTTCGACGGGACACCTTTGCTTCGTCCTGACGGTTTGCCACAACTTTTCGGTCGCTGACTGCCAAGCGACAGCTTGCCACTGGAACCGCAATCGGGCCGGTGGCAGTTGCAAAGCCCGCCCTAGTTGTACTGCTTGTTCTTCGAATTCTTGTACTTGCCGTTGTCGCCAGAATTGCCGCTCTGCTTGCCACCTGCTGCCGTGCTCTCGTCGAGCACCCTTGGCTCACGGGGAGCTCGTGCCGCAAACCAGCAAGTAGAGACCCCACAAACATTAAACGAGACAAACAGAAACGACGTGTATCCCAATAGCTAAACAAAGCGGCCAGGTTGCACCGGACAAAAATGCAGTCTTGCCGACTGCCGGCAGACAACGTGCAACGCTCGCACCTTTTTGATACCCACACTGCAAGAGCTCCCGCGCGCGTCTTAGTTCATGCGATGCACGCGCCGAAGGACGAGTTCGCCAAGGCACCAGCGCAGCCCACTCAGATTCATCATCTGTCTCTCCCAGTCACCACGGTTGCATGTACGACGCCGCTTGTATTTGCTTTCGTAGTACGCCCCAGCATTGCTCATTCCGCAACCGTTTTGCCCCAGAGCAGCCGCTTGCCGCGTGCATCTACACAACACTGTTGGGGTAGTCACGACACAGCTAGATCCGTGCCCTGGGGTCGCACGGCTCCGCGCAGCACACCCACTCGCAACGCGGCCAATGGCTCCCAGCTGGACGGTTGGACTTGGCAGCATTTGGACGATAACCTACACCAAATGGTGGCAAGCAGGACACCCTTCTTCATGGCCTCCCCCTGATGGGATGATCCTTCTGGTCTGGTGGACGCGCCGCACCAGGGCTATCCCTCCGGGCTATCTCACCTGACAGCCACCGGGGCTATCCCTCCGCCGATACAAGTGACAAAAAACGAAGCCGATGGCAAGCATGAACACTTGGAGTCGTACAGGTGTACGCCTCTTGTGCGGGGCGTCGTGCGCCGATCGCCCTCGACGCCGGGGCTGCACGCGCACAAACGCCAGCAAGGGCCACGCTCCAGCACCTCCTGGGCCTGCCTGCCAAGACGACGACTCTTTGCGGAACGGCTCGCCCCCCCTCGGGGTCCCGCTACCACTCTGGCGATCGCCTCTCTCCTCAGACAGCGTCCTCCAACAGCAAGTCTCCGTGGAGCGGCTCACCCCCCTCGGCGTTCCGCTGCCACTTGCATTACTGCCACAAGCATTTTAGGCACTCGGCGCGCCCGAAGCCAAGCTTGCCACAGATGCGTAGCGAGTCCACTCCTCACAGAATGTCCGAGAAGGCGCTAATGCCTAAGCAGGCCCGTGCACTGTGCACGCGCAAGGGCAGATGCTAGAGCACGATATGCCGCCACACTTCCCTGAGAGGGCGAAATGTAGTTTGCCCCTCTAGCGATTATTCGCTTGATGCGCTTGCCCACAACATGCCTACAAAGGACAGGCTGGGCCACAGCTTCGCATCTGCTCAAGTGGGGTCGGTTCCGCCCCCCTTTTCCTTTTACCTAGCTTGGACACACGAGCAGTAGGAACAAAAGAGCCTCCCGCCGAGGAGGCCGAAGCTCTCGCACAGGATAGCCCACTGGGCCCACCTTTTCGGTCCCCCTCTTTCGGCAGATGGGTCAGCTGGGCCGGAGCTCAGCCGACGGCTGGGTCAGGCGAGAGCGGAATTTGACGCACTGTCGCGAGTGTGGTCCCGCTCCGCAGTGTCGACCCAGAGGAAGCTGATGATATTCGAGGCGTGCGTGCAAAACGAAGCTGCTTTACAGTTTACATACCACTTGGCTGAAGAAGCAGGAGGTCGCTAGAGTGGACGCCTTCCAGGCGAGGTGCCCCTCCCCTTCTTCCCGCCTCTCCCCCTCCCCCTCCCTTCTCTCTCATTGCCTTCTAAAAAAGCCGCTCGGTGTTAGGAAAAGAGGCCGGCCCAGGCAGACGTGGGCCGGAGAAGTCGGCAGACACGCCGCCGTCTGCGACGCCTGCGGATTTTTCTTCGAAGATATTGCGTTCGTCCCAGCTGACAGCTGGAAGACAGCTGTGCGGAGATACTGTGCACCGCGGTAGCTTGTCTTCACTGCTCATGTGCTTGTCACACGGCTTCGCAACATACGGTAGAGGGAAACAATTACTGAACACTCCCCCTCCCCCCAAACTCAATGTTGGCACGCGCGGGGGGAGACTGCGGTCGAAGTGCATCTCATCAGACCCACCGCCAACTTTGAACATTGGGGGGAGGGGGAGGCGTTGACGGATGAATGTGGCATGTGTTCGCTAATTTGTTCCGAGGCCTGTACAACTCTTTCTCGCTAACCCTTCCGTTTCCTTCGGTTCGGGATCAGCACCGCGCCCTCGGCCGTCCCCAGGGGCATCGAAGATAGCGAGGCCCATGTGGAGCCCGTCTCTTTTTTGCACTCGTGGGCCCAGCCTTGGAGTTCCGCCCTTCGGTGCCCATAGAGGCGCGCGTACAGCCATGCCCACCTCGAGTCAGAGAAAGCCTCCTCCTCCTCCTCCTCCTCCTCCGCCTCCTCCTCCTCCTCCTCCTCCTCCTCCTCCTCCTCCTCCTCCTCCTCCTCCTCCTCCTCCTCCTCCTCCTCCTCCCTCCTCCTCCTCCCTCCTCCTCCTCCTCCTCCTCCTCTCCTCCTCCTCCTCCTCGTCCTCCTCGTCCTCCTCGTCCTCCTCGTCCTCCTCGTCCTCCTCGTCCTCCTCCTCCTCCTCCTCCTCCTCCTCTTCCGACCCCCCCCTACCCCCATCCTCCCCCCCCCATCCCTCCGACATGGGCACGGGCCCCTCCCTCATAGCCGCCCCCGGACCCCTCCCCGAGCCCTCCGACCAGGAGCTCGAGGCGGGAGAGCCCCCCTCCCCCCACAGGGAAAGCTCGACGCCTCCCGTGGGCAGTCGGCTCTCGCCGGAAAGGGGGTGGCGCGAGCGGGCAGAAACCTCTGAGAGAAGGCACAGGGTCCCAAGGATTCCGAAGCTTCTGCGGTGAGAACATCCTTCAAGAATGCGAGACCCTCCGCCAGCCAGACTGCAGAACACTCGAGTGTGCCCTCCCCCCGGATGCCCAAGAGCGTCCAATAAGCACGAAGAGCATTACAGTCGACCCGTACAGTGAAGATGCAGGGTAAGGATGCAAGGGCCTTCGAAGGCCATGTCGACACTTTGCGAACGGGGCGGGGCCAGCGGAAGCGGCCAAGAATGGGCCGAAGGGGAAGGATGGAAGGGTGACCTTGGAAACTTGCTCATCCTTGCTCTGCGGGGTTGACTGCAAGGTACCCTCCCGGAATCGACCTCGACCAACCGTGAGACGGCTTCTCAGAAAGAATTTGAGCCCACCTTCGATGCCCCCTGACCCCCTACGCCAACCCCGCTCTGCGCGCCGCCGACCCCCTCTGCCCTCCACCGCCCCCCGCCCACCCCTCCTGAGACGAAGCCAGGGCGAGGATAAATTCAGGTGAGAATACAGTCAACCCGTATGATAAGAACGCACGATAAGGATGCAAGGGCCTTGGAGGGCCATGTCGACACTTTGCGGGCGGGGCGCGACCAGCGAAAGCGGCCAAGGCTGGGACGAAGGGGAAGGATGCAAGGGTAAACTTGGAAAGTTTCTCATCCTTCCTATGCGGTTTGACTGTAGATCGAGAATCTCTGAGATCCAGCGGCTGTGGAGGATGTCTCGGGCGCCGCGGCCTTCTTTAAGCGTTCCGGAGCGCTCCGAGAGCGTTCCGGAACGCTCTGGAACGGACTTCTTCCTCGCCCCAGCCACGCCCCCCCTCCCTTGATGTGCAACGATAGGATAGGGGGGATAGGCATAAGGGGGGGGAGCATCGACCTGGAATGGGCGATACATGGCCGACAGATCGGCCCCCGACAGCGAATCCCCACCTTCCTGGGCAGAATGGGGGCCCCATCAATGGGCGATTGGGGGTCGATGTATACCCCCTATTGTTGCCCCCGTATTGTTGCCACCACCATGAATAGGAAGGGGGGGGTCCTCCTCCACCTCCTCCTCCTCCTCCTCCACCTCCTTCCCGCCTCCAATTTATGGTGGTGGTGGTGGTGGTGGAAGACAGGCCCATGAATCCTCGCCCAGCCCCGCCCCCCCTCCCTCCCCCAGCCCCGCGAGGGCGGGGGCTTTCTTGGGGCGGTCGCCCTGCCGCGGGCCGGCCCCGGGGCGCAGCGTGGAGGCCCCCGAGGAGGCCGCCATTCGGTGGCTCCCGGGGCGCCACGCGGGGGCGAGGCACGGCTCAGCACAGCGGAGGCGCGCGGGATGGTGACGGTCGCAGCGGCGGATGGCGGTGACGACGGTGACGATGACGATGCACTTCGCTCCCCCTCCCCCCTCCCATCCCCCTCCTCCTTCCCTTCGCTTCATCTCCTCCTCCTCCTCCTCCTCCTCCTCCTCCTCCTCCTCCTCCTCCTCCTCACCATCCTCCTCACGCTTTCCCTCCTCCCCAATTCTCATCCTCCATCCGTTTCACCCCTCCCGTCGAGGAACGTGATAACCTGAAGAAACACAAGGACAATACAGAACCCTCGGCAGCGCTGTGCTCATGAAGCAACCGCTGTGCCATTTTCATTGGACGTGCCATCAATATGCGTTCTGTTCCTGCTGAAGCCCTCGAGGTTTCCACACAGGCTGCTTACATGTCTGGCTCCGCGGCCGAGGCCAAACCAAACGGCTCGAGCAAAGACGATTGCGGACAGAGCGTGCAAAACAACTCCTCCTCCTCCTCCTCGTCCTCCTCCTCCTCCTCCTCCTCCTCCTCCTCCTCCTCCTCCTCCTCCTCCCCCTCCTCCCCCTCCTCCCCCCTCCTCCTCCTCCCTCCTCCTCCTCCTCCTTCCTCCCTTCCTCCCTCCTCCTCCTCTCCTCCCTCCCTCCCTCCCTCCCTCCCTCCCTCCCTCCCGCCCTCCCCCCTCCCTCCCTCCCTCCCTCCCTCCCTCCCTCCTCTCCTCCTCCTCCTCCTCCTCCTCCTCCTCCTCCGCCGCATCCGCCGCCTCCGCCCGCCTCCGCCTCCGCCTCCTCCGCCTCCGCCTCCGCCTCCTCCTCCTCCTCCTCCTCCTCCTCCTCCTCCTCCTCCTCTCCTCCTGCTCCTGCTCCTGCTCCTCCTCCTCCTCCCTCCTCCTCCTCCTCCTCCCTCTTCCTCCCTCTTCCTCCCGCTCCTCCTCCTCCTCCTCCTCCTCCTCCTCCTCCTCCACCTCCTCCTCCTCCTCCTCCTCCTCCTCCTCCTCCTCCTCCTCCTCCTCCTCCTCCTCCTCCTCCTCCTCTCCTCCCTCTTCCTCCCGTCATCCCGCTCCTCCTCCTCCTCCTCCTCCTCTCCGCCTCCTCCTCCTCTCCTCCTCCTCCTCTCTCCTCCACCTCCTCCTCCTCCTCCTCCTCCTCCTCCTCCTCCTCCTCCTCCCTCCCCGATGATGCGGATCGCCCCCTGGCGCAATCCGCAATCTGCCAATGGAAGACAACAAGACACTCTCCCACAAGGCGGCGGGAGATGGTGCTTACAAAGTCCTGGATGCGCATGAACGCATCGCATCATCGACCATTCGGAAGAGCGTCATGGCAATTACAAGATGCAGGGAAGACCGCGGCCCTGAAGCCTCCCACCCTCAAGCTCCTCCCCCTGCTCCTCCTCTTGCTCCACCCTCCTCCTCCTCCCTCTCCGTCCCCCCCCCAGACGACGACGACGACAGATGATGCCGACGACAGACGACGCCGACGCCGACGACGCCGACGATGACGATGACAACGCCAACGCGGGCGCGGACGACGACGACGACGACGACGACGACGACGACGACGACGACGACGACGACGACGACGACGGCGCCTCGTACGCCAACGGCGGCTGCCCCGCGGCGGACATCCGGCGCTGCGCGCTGTTCGTCGCGACGGGTCCGGGCGGGCTGTCCCTGCCGCTGCTTGGGCCGAGGCCCTGGGAGCCCTCGCGCAGATGCGAAGCGCCGCCTGACCGCATTGGCGCGACCCCTGCTTCAGCCTGCTCGTTTCTTCGGCGGGCTGCGGGGGCGTTCCGCCCGCAGCGACAGCTCCCCCTCCTTCGCCACCTCCTCCTGCTCCCCCTCCTCCTCCTCCTCCTCCTCCTTCTTCTCCTCTTCCTCCTCCTCCTCCTCCTCCTCCTCCTCCTCCTCCTCCTCCTCCTCCTTGTTTACCTAACAGCGAAGACTGATAGGTTTCTAGTGGGGTCAAAAGAGAACATCAGGGGGGTCGGGGCGGGACCCGGGGCGGGACCCGGCGCGGCTGCCGTCGAAGCCCAAATCGCCTAGGACATCCTCGCAAAATCGCTCTTGGCGCTGCTAGAACTCCATTCCCGGCGTACATTTTGGATGCCCGGAGCCAACTGTAGGCCACTTCGTGGTCTTCGAGTTCCCAGAACTCCATTCCCGGCGTACATTTTGGATGCCCGGAGCCAACTGTAGGCCACTTCGTGGTCTTCGAGTTCCCAGAACTCCATTCCCGGGCGACATTTTGGATGCCCGGAGCCAACTGTAGGCCACTTCGTGCTCTTCGAGTTCCCAGAACTCCACTCCTGGGCCACATTTTGAATGCCCGGAGCCAACTGTAGGCCACTTCGTGCTCTTCGAAGTTCCCAGAACTCCATCCCTGGGCATGATTTTGAATGCCCGGAGCCAACTGTAGGCCACCTCGTGTTCTTCGAGTTCCCAGAACTCCATTCCTGGGCCACATTTTGAATGCTGAGGCAGGCTGATGCTGCGGCCGAGGCAGGCTGAGGCTGAGGCAGGCTGAGGCTGAGGCCGAGGCTGAAGGCAGACTGAAGCTGAGGCTGAAGCAGACTGAGGCTGAGGCTGAGGCAGGCTGAGGCTGAGGCTGAGGCAGGCTGAGGCTGAGGCTGAGGCTGATGCTGAGGCAGGCTGAGGCTGAGGCTGAGCAGGCTGAGGCTGAGGCAGGCTGAGTGAGGCTGAGGCTGAAGCAGGCTGAGGCTGAGGCTGAGGCAGGCTGAGGCTGAGGCAGGCTGAGGCTGAGGCTGAGGCAGGCTGAGGCTGAGGCTGTGACTGCGACTGCCGTTGCCACTGCGACTGTCATCGCGAATGCGACTACGACTGCGAGAACAGCAGAATTCTACAACTGGATTCTCATCTGAATCCGCCGACCCTGTCGGCGTGTGTGAGGGGTTTTTCCGTTCGAGCCGTCATCTCCGTCATTCTTTGTACTGGTCGTCTCTGTCCTTCCCTTTCCCTGGGAGACCTCTTCCCCTGGGCTCCAGCCAAGCCGACCTTGAGCAACCTCGTAATTGAGTCGAAGGGAAGCCCCTTCCCTTTGATCCCTCCCCCGCCGGGAGGGGGGGGGGGGTAGCGACCCCCCCCCCGGGTCAGATACGACGCCCCCCCCTGGGACTCCTCTTCCCCTGGGCTCCAGCCAAGCCGACCTTGAGCAACCTCGTAATTGAGTCGAAGGGAAGCCCCTTCCCTTTGATCCCTCCCCCGCCGGGAGGGGGGGGGGGGTAGCGACCCCCCCCCCGGGTCAGATACGACGCCCTCCCTGGGACTCCTCTTCCCCTGGGCTCCAGCCAAGCCGACCTTGAGCAACCTCGTAATTGAGTCGAAGGGAAGCCCCTTCCCTTTCATCCCTCCCCCGCCGGGAGGGGGGGGGGGGGGTAGCGACCCCCCCCCCGGGTCAGATACGACGCCCCCCCCTGGGACTCCTCTTCCCCTGGGCTCCAGCCAAGCCGACCTTGAGCAACCTCGTAATTGAGTCGAAGGGAAGCCCCTTCCCTTTGATCCCTCCCCCGCCGGGAGGGGGGGGGGGGTAGCGACCCCCCCCCCGGGTCAGATACGACGCCCCCCCCTGGGACTCCTCTTCCCCTGGGCTCCAGCCAAGCCGACCTTGAGCAACCTCGTAATTGAGTCGAAGGGAAGCCCCTTCCCTTTCATCCTCCCCCGCCGGGAGGGGGGGGGGGGTAGCGACCCCCCCCCCGGGTCAGATACGACGCCCCCCCCTGGGACTCCTCTTCCCCTGGGCTCCAGCCAAGCCGACCTTGAGCAACCTCGTAATTGAGTCGAAGGGAAGCCCCTTCCCTTTGATCCCTCCCCCGCCGGGAGGGGGGGGGGGTAGCGACCCCCCCCCCGGGTCAGATACGACGCCCCCCCCTGGGACTCCTCTTCCCCTGGGCTCCAGCCAAGCCGACCTTGAGCAACCTCGTAATTGAGTCGAAGGGAAGCCCCTTCCCTTTGATCCCTCCCCCGCCGGGAGGGGGGGGGGGGTAGCGACCCCCCCCCCGGGTCAGATACGACGCCCCCCCCTGGGACTCCTCTTCCCCTGGGCTCCAGCCAAGCCGACCTTGAGCAACCTCGTAATTGAGTCGAAGGGAAGCCCCTTCCCTTTGATCCCTCCCCCGCCGGGAGGGGGGGGGGGTAGCGACCCCCCCCCCCGGGTCAGATACGACGCCCCCCCCTGGGACTCCTCTTCCCCTGGGCTCCAGCCAAGCCGACCTTGAGCAACCTCGTAATTGAGTCGAAGGGAAGCCCCTTCCCTTTGATCCCTCCCCCGCCGGGAGGGGGGGGGGGTAGCGACCCCCCCCCCGGGTCAGATACGACGCCCCCCCCTGGGACTCCTCTTCCCCTGGGCTCCAGCCAAGCCGACCTTGAGCAACCTCGTAATTGAGTCGAAGGGAAGCCCCTTCCCTTTCATTCCTCCCCCGCCGGGAGGGGGGGGGGGTAGCGGGGGGGGGTAGCGACCCTCCCTCCGAGTCAGATACGACGCCCCCCCCCCGTACCGACCTTGAGCAACGTCTCTTCCCCTGGGCTCCAGCCAAGCCGACCTTGAGCAACCTCGTAATTGAGTCGAAGGGAAGCCCCTTCCCTTTGATCCCTCCCCCGCCGGGAGGGGGGGGGGGTAGCGACCCCCCCCCCCGGGTCAGATACGACGCCCCCCCCTGGGACTCCTCTTCCCCTGGGCTCCAGCCAAGCCGACCTTGAGCAACCTCGTAATTGAGTCGAAGGGAAGCCCCTTCCCTTTCATTCCTCCCCCGCCGGGAGGGGGGGGTAGCGAGGACCCCCCGAGTCAGATACGACGCCCCCCCCCCGTACCGACCTTGAGCAACGTCGTCATTGAGTCGAAGGGAAGCCCCTTCCCTTTCCCTTCCCCGACGGGGGGGGGAGAGGAGGTCCCGGGGGGGGTCCCGGGGGAGTCCCGGGGAAGTCCTGGGTCAGATACGACACCTCCCTCCCCCACCTTCTCGTCCTTCTCCCCGTTCCCCCAAACCATCCCACAGCCC